CTACATTTAAACACACCTATGTGCTTGAATATAAACAGCCACTGTTTTGAGGGTACCCACCACACGCCTGCCCCTGTAGGGACTCCTTATACACATCCCGAAGGAAAAGCAAAAATGCGGATGTCAAACTTGGTCTCCCACTGCCAAAGCAAAATCTTCTCGGCTTTTTTGTTCACACTGCCTTGTAAAAAATCAGCTGGCTTTGAAGGATATCAGAAGATATTTCACAACACTTTGAGACCTGAATCCAATACTGTAGCATGAAAATTGCTTTTGTTGAGGAAATTTTAGAAGAAAATATGCAATTTGAAAGGTATTGCTGGGGCTAGAAACAAGACAGAAGAGAGCGAAGTTACAGAGTCTGCTTAGAGCCCATTCTGTTCAACTGGGGTAGATACACCATATATCTTGTTCTCCTTTATATGGCTTGAAATGTAAAAATGCTGAAGACTGGAACGAGAACAGTACAAATATTCTTGTGACACGATCAATAAATAACACTCAGTTTGTTAAAACTCAGCCTCCAGAATAAACCAAACCCCAATGGATAATATACGGCTGTATTTTATTACTTCTAACGGCAGATAGCCCCACCCCAAACATGTAGTAGCATTTCTAGTCAACATTATTCACGGCATATTGCTTCCCTTTAAACACTTGTGTTTCACTCTCCCTCTTTTTGTTTAGAGAACACTGAAAATGTGAATTTGCATTGAGAGAAGCCCTGTGCTTCTCAACATTAAAAAGTCTTTCCTAAGAAAATAAGGAAAAACCCCACACGTAGCGTGGCAGCCCACTGCAGCTTGCTCTCAGCTTTTAGTGTCAAGCCTGCCAGTGCTGCAGGAGCGCAGAAGGCTCCTCTTCCTTCCCTCATGAAAAGTCCTTCTTCCTGCAGTCACACCCAGGGGATGAAGACAACCTTTCCTTAGCTCTCTTGATCCAAGGAGAAATGCCTCCAAGAAGAATGTGCTCCAGGGGGGTGGGCCATATTTCAAGACCAGAAGTCCAGATATAATTCCTTACATCATCCAAGGCTGTTCTTTTCTTAAAGTGCAAAAAGGTGTGAGGCCAAAAGGTCTTGTTTGTTGAAGCTCTAATGATAACAAAGCTCATACTTCCCCTCGAGCTGGCCTCACCCTTGCTGAACACAAACTCCATCCCTTTCGCAGTCAGCACTCGGTCAGAAGACAGAAACAGGAAGTAATGCTGGAGGTGCAAGCTGCTGCACAGGTTAGGTTTCGTGTGTGGAAATACAGGGAAATTACTTTTAAGGAGCATCACTCGCAACCATGACAACATCTAGGCTTTTTTTTTCCCGAGGCCATTGCTCTCTAGCAAGTCTGTGAATGACTTGAGAATTGCTCAAGTGGATTTTAGTTAACATCCTCAAGAACAGTTCTGAATCATTTCCAACCACATAGAACCACCAGGAACTGTTCCACTAGGAACCTTCCCCACAGTATCAGGGCAGGATGTCCCACAGAAAGGCTGAGTGTGAGGCTAGACTGGGGTTGGTGTTCTGTTTTGACCCCTTTCTGGTTGGCTCCTGCCAGGTTAACAATGATGCGCTGTACTGGGCAGATCTATGGGTTTATGTCAGTCCTGGGGCTGGAACCACTGTCTGGGATATCACCATATTCAGTAATTCCCAAGTGGCTTTAGTAATTATTAATAACAGACAGTTCAGTTGATCAAAGCAAAACAAACCCAAAAAAACAACAAACCAAACTCAACCACTACCCCCCAAACCAAACAAAATGCAAAGTTTGACAACTACTGTCAACTACTTTCTAAACGTGGCCACAGAACTGAAGACTACGCAGGCCATACAGATGCGGTTCTAACAGGGTCAGGGCCCCAAATATAAACAGGGGAATTGGAATTCCGTGTTTCCAAGAAGGTAAAACAAGCTTAAGGAAGTACTTTAGGTTCGAATTTGCACTCCTGTGTAAACATGTTGATTCCCTATAATCATAGTTCTTCCTATAGAATCTATGTAATACCTATAAAACATTGTGTGGACTTTTATATACATGCACTGTTCGCATTTACAGGTACACACATTTCAAAACCTTTTGCGCTGTGCAGAATTAACAGAGAGCTGTCCAGGACACGCTGTCATATTCACAGAGCAAGGCAAACAATTCTTGGTATTACGTACACAAATGGGGTCAGGCTGAAGCCAATAGCAAAATTCCAAATTATACCACTGGGGTCAGGATTTGATTCAAAATAAGGACTTTGAATTAGGAAATAGGAAGAAGTAGGCAGGAATGACACAACAGACTAACTCTTCCTCTCCCAGCAATACACAACTACAACATCACAAGGACTGTTCACACTTTTCCACAATAAACATTTTAGGGGTGTCACTTTTCTTGATTTTTTTTCTTCACTACCCACTGCAATCCCTACCACTCTTTCAATTTATTCACTGTATGATTAAGAAGAAAAAACCCCCAGCATTCTTATTATTTCACAGTAGAGCACCATCACCACATCTTACATGGATTTATTCCCCAAACAGAATAGAAATGTAACCATGCAAATTACTTCTCTAGTTTAAGTTTGTCTGCAAGCCCCATAACATACATCACAATCACCGTATTTCACCAGTTTATCTGATAAACTGCATAAAACAATCCAGTGAGTGTACCATGAGATTTCTAGAGTTTGCAAAAATCCACTTCCAGTACATCTCACTGAAAACTGGAAAAAGAGTGGTTATTTATTCATCCATGTAACAGCAGCATCTCCAAAACTTTCTTTGCTGCCATTTCTAACTCTGAGGCACCAGCTCCTCTGGGACTGCCTCTTCAGAAGTGGATCTTCCTTTTATGGAAAATGTCAGAAAAAAGATTACTGTAAGTCAGATTTAGTATTAACCGGATCCCTCTTTGCTTTCTGCCTCTCTTCATTTATATTCTTGACCTAATTATAGCACAGATTTGTCACAGGCACTAAAAGTTCAAATCCTTCAGGGGCTGTATAGATTGGTTCAAAATTTCATCCTCATTCTTTAACAGTAAAAGCTCTACTGAAATCTGTGGGCTGGAAAGTCTCTCGCAAGTGCACTTTCTGGTTCCTTTGGAGATATCACCTGGCTATAACAATTCATCCAGGTAAATTTATGGATCATTACAACAACAGATAAGAGCTGCACTGCTGCAGTTTATTTGACTTTCTAAAACCTAATCCTGGGAACAGGAGCACACAGGAGCTACACTGCTAAAGGCATTCAAACCTGGCACTGTCCCTGGGGCAGGGAGTACGGTGACTGGTGAAATAAAATAGCTTGCATCTGTCCTGCCGAGATCTGGAGAATTGTAGGGTCGATCAGTATGTTCCCATCTGCAGCATTTGGCTTGGAGGTTCTATGGGCACTCAAACGTAGTTTTCTGTGTTTCCAGTCATGCATACATGAAACTACAAGAAGACCATGCTGCCACTCAGCGGAGTGGTGTTTCTGTAGATTCAGCCAAAAGGAATAGTTGTGTGACATCATCAGAGAAGGGTTGGTGAAGGTACGGGATCTGGTGGGATATCAGTGAAGGATGCCAGAACTTCTCTTGAGGAAATGCCGCCACCACTGTGCTGTTGGTGGCTGAATTAGCTGGGGGGTAACCTTTTTACAAGGGCCTGTAGTGACAGGACAAGGGGTAATGGGTCCCAGAGAACGTGGTGAGGCACTGGGACAGGTTGCCCAGAGAAGCTGTGGATGTCCCCTCCCTGGAAGTGTTCAAGCCCAGGCTGGATGAGGCTTTGAGCAACCTCATTCCATCATAGTGGAAGGTGTCCCTGCCCATGGCAGGGTGTTGGAACTAGATGGTCTTTAAGGTCCCTTCCAACCCAAACCATTCTGTGATTCTGTGATTCTATGATCGGAGGCGCTTTGGACAAAACAGCATACAGCGCACTGTCTACCAAGGAGGCTGCTACCTGCAAAAGCACACCCAGCTTCTCTCTCAGAGGAAACTTGTTTCTCTCCAGGAAAGATCCATGATAGATCTGTCCACTTTGTGTAGGCCACTCTGGCTCCCAGTTGGCTCACAATGCCAACTGTGTTTTGACAGACAATTTCACTTTATAGCTTAGGTTCTGTCTTTAGAGACTTCTTTTCTGCTCCTTAGCAGTTATACCACACTTGGATTATCTAAAGTGCCTCTGACTTGTGTACGCTGAGGACTTTCACAGCACATTCCTTCCATAAAGAATCGATCAGAAATTCTCTTCTTGCCATGAAACAGCTGACCACATTAGAAGGAATGCACTGAAAGAGAAAACTATTTGATTTATTTTATTTTCCTACAGAAGGCTCCTTTAAGACTTTCTCTTACACTGTCAAAAGAGTACGAACATATTTTCATAGTTATGTGGAAATCTGTGCACAGGGAATTTTAAATTAAAAAAAAAAAATCCCCATTAATTTGTGAAACTTGTACAGACTGAAACAAAATACTGCAGAAGCCCAAATGACAAACATTAAAAACTGCTCTGCTCTTGACTGTGACTTGTCTCACAGACACAGCCTTGAGACTACAGGCCAAAAAGCTGAAGTTTTACATAACTAGAGGGGCTAACTTTGTAAAAGCATATCCATGTGCTTGCCCATAAAACTACCCATACTGCACAGAAGTTAAATATGAACAAAAGTGCTTGCGGGACCTTAGTGAACCATTGCAATCCCCCGGCAGTACTCTGCACAGCGCGTGCTGCTTTGCCTTGGAAGTCAGGACTTTGCAGCCGACTGTAAC